CTGATCTGTATCTATCTGTTTATCTAACAACCCAATACAAACATTAAAATTTGAAGTAGCAAAAAGTTTAGAGGTATAAAGAAAGGGAAGAGTATAATAAATTTATTAAATGCAACTGTCTACATATATATTTGTCAGTGTTATTAGCTTTTGGTCAGTCTTTTTCTAATCCTGCTTCTTTTGCTTTTATCGAGCCTCCCAATCGAGTTTGTTATATTCATGCACAAATGCCATTGCGAAAGGTATGAATCCATCTCTTCTCCCCACAGCTATGGGTTAAATAGCAGGACAAACTGGGTACTTTAGTTTTGGCTGGCTGAAAGAAATGGCAACCTACTGTGGGGAAAATCTGCCTCATATATCGAAAGATACATGATCGCTTAAGCATGTATCCCGCATGGCACAAAACTGGCTGAATCCTGTTATTACACGAGTGTGTTATACCCATAAATACAATTAATATATATTTATTGATAATATTTGAAGAAAAGTTTATTATGGGTGTTTGTACGGCTTAGAAAAATAAAAAAAATGTATATATAAATTAGTGATAAATAAATATATAAAAAAAGAACATTAAAATAATAATCAACAAGTTACCATTACCACAATCATCACCGCCTCCATCATCACTACTAGCACCGCTACTATCACTACTATTATTGCATTCCTCTTTGTTTCTTTTTTCTTCTTCCTATCTATCTATCTATCTATCTATCTATCTATCTATCTATGTCTAATCACTATCTATCTATCTATCTATCTATCTATCTATCTATGTCTAATCATTATCTATCTATCTATCAAAAACGTCTTTTCTTTTTCATGTGCCCTTTCAGGACGCAGCCGATCATGGCTCTCCAACTCCCTGTATCCCTTGCAGCTCTCAGCAAGTTCCTTCCGCCTGCTTCTTCCTCCAGACCAATTTCTGTCATCCACTTGCTTAAGCCCGCTAGGTATATCACGCGTTGTTTTCCCCTGTCTCTCACCTTCCCTTTATTCAACCCGTGAGTATCAGATTCTCCAGCCCCTATTTCCTCATGGCGTGTCCCAGAAACTTCAGCTGCCTCTTCCTGATATTAAGTATAAGCATCCTCCTTGTTTGCATCCTCTCTAAGACCTCATCGTTGCTGACACGTTTGGTCCATGATATCCTTAGCATCCTGCTGTAGAACCATATCTCTGTCACCTCGATGCTCTTCTTCATCTTTAAGTCTAGGAATCGTGCGTACGTCGGCCGTCGACTGCATAAGGATTTAAGTTTGTTTCCACATTTCTCTTTCCATCTCTCTGTGATTATTAATTTTTCTGTTTTTATTTAACGGAACAATATATATATATATATATATATATATATATATATATATATAAATATATATATATTAAAGACATTTTTATGTTTAACGTTGTTATTTATAGATACAAGTATTTAAGCAAATGCTCTGTTCAGGCCGGTAAATGTTATTTAATACTGTTTATCATAAACAGAGCATTTGCTTAAATACTTGTATCTATAAATAACAACGTTAAACATAAAAAATGTCTTTAATAAATAAATTGTCGGACATTGTCCATTTCTTAATATATATATATATATATATATTAAAAAAATACTTTTTTGCCATATTTAAAAAAAATATATATTTTAAAGTGAATATGTATAAAAAATATTTTTTGGCATATTAGAATATTTTTAAGTTAATCTAATTTAAGAAAAATATTTTAAGTGAATATGACTTAAGAATACGAGGTATATCAACAAATTATATAACTGAGTAACATGTCTTTAAAATTAAAATATTATTAATCTAAAATTTAATTTTAATTTGCCGCTTTATACGTATATGTATATACATACAAACATAAACACATCCATAAGTACACATACATGTACATATAAAATTATATAGGTACCTCCACGAATTCGGTATGCGTAAGGATTAAAATTAATTTTTAAAAATGAAAAATATTCCCTGACACTTCTAATTTAGCTTTAAATGAAAGCTAGAAGATTAAATTTACTATATCCGGTAAGCAAATTACTTTGCTGTATTTCAGACAGAAATTATATTGACTCGAATAGACTTTCATTTTTTTTTTCAGTAAAATCGATTACGTTAGTCATATTTTAAACATTTGTAAACAAAACTTAACTTTCCATTTTAAAAACTCCTACAAAAATAAAATATATATTGCTGAAATGTTATTTGACGGAAATTAGCAAATTTAAAGTTAAGGTAATCAGATTTGAAACAAATATTATTATTATTATAATTATAGTAATTATTATTTTCTCTGATTTCTGGTGTATACCCATTTCTTTACGAGTTCCAACCAGAGATCTAAGCTCAGAAATGGCATGATGGCATTTTTCCACTGAGCGGGCGAAAGAGTTAAGAGACTAACAGGGCGATAATTTAAGCGGACAGAAGGTTCCCCAGAGTTTTTTTTTTAAAACACGGGAACTCCAGAGGTGGAATTGCAACTTTTGATAGTTCCTTTTTTGAAGGTCTTTAGCGTTACATTACAATCTCCAGGAACTTCGACGTCACTACGAAAATAAATTCTCTTCTTGTGGGCTTTATGATGTCGGAGTTAACTCCTCCTTTAGTTCGTTAACCCTTTCACCAGGGGTCTCTCTTCCCTGGCTATAAATAGACGCTGACACTTCCCCTCTTTCTCTCTTTTCCCCTCAGGCCTTTGCGCCGACACCTTGAGGTAAATCTCTCTTTTTCCTCAGGCTTCCATCTCAAAAATATGAACACTCACCAATGATAGCGTTTCCCAAAATGCTGGGAACACGCTAAGCACAATACACACACACACACAAACGCACATATATAATATTCACACACACACTTTGTCCTTTTGTAACTGTTTCTATGTAACCTGTTATTAATATATATATTTGTATACATATATTATCGGTCTTGTGTTTTGTTTGTTTTCTTTGCATTCTTTGGACTTAATTAAAAGTCTAACTTTCTTGTGTAGTTGGACCGGCTAGCAGGAAAATCTGAACCCACATGCGTTTCTTCTATTTCTACTCAACAACATCACAGCCACGGTCCACTACAAAGATTATCTTTGATTTTATTTTGTATCCATCGTTATTAGTGTTTAGTTCTTGTGAAAGGGGCTATTAAGGACAGACAGTACATAAGAGAAGATTCCTCGTCGAATATTCAAATAATTGGAAGTGGCAGTACCTTTGGTATGATTTAGGTATAATATGGTTTTCCACAGTTCCATGCTATTTTCAAGGAAATTTACTATCACCGAAAAGATTTTGGACATTTCCAAAGCCTTAAGTATCCAAGAGTGTGTCACACCGTTAAATGCTTTGCGATAACTATCCAAGCTGTTCTGAGATTTCTACCTTTGTTCTTGCAATTTTATAAGATCATTTTTTATTTCTCCCACTATGTTATGCGTTGTTTTCCTCTGTCTCTCTTGCGTTTAATCTGTCCTGTGAGTATCAGATTTTCCAAGCCGTCTTTCCTCATTATATTCCCCAGAAGCCTTTCTTCCTGATGTTAAGTATAAGTTTCCTTTTTCTTTCCACTGTTATTATTATTATTATTATTCTTTTTAATGTTATTATTGTTATTGTTGTTGTTGTTATTTTTTTTTATTTTTTTAAGCTTTTCACCCCAAGCAAGGCGGGAGTGCCACTAGCACGCAAGGGGTTACAGAGAGTGGGAGCAAGAGTAAAGAGGCGTGATAGAGGAAAGGATGAAGAGAAGGACAGGGAAATAGATCAAGGCATCTGGAGATATCGATTGACATTACATCTGAATAGTTGGAGATTATAACTATCAGGGAAGCAAGTAATAGGAAGGGAGTTCCACAGGTGGGAAGTGCGAGATATGAAGCTATTGGAGTAGAAGAGAAGTTACATTTAACAGTTTCGACAGTGAAAGGATGGGACCGAAATGCCAACCTAGTAACACGCTTAAATTCATGCAGTTTGGGAACCAGCGAAAGTAGCTCGTCGGAGCACTTACCGTGAAAGTATTTGTAGAAAAGACAGAGGGAGGCGACGGCACATCGTTGGAGAAAGTGATTGTAGACGAGATGCCAGATCAAGACCTAACACATTGCATATCCGTCAATAGATTTTGTCGGGGACCTTAAGACAAACAGCGGGGATTCCAGACCATATATGGCAGTAGTATTCAATACAAGGACGAATGGTATTATTATTATTATTATTATTATTTAGACTAATATCTTTCCCATTTCTCTACCTTTTGGTCACAATATTCGACGTTCTTTGAGACTTCAGCTCAAATTAAATTTATTCTTAACTGAAATTGGAGAACAGTAGACAGTGCATGTTATGAGCCGAAAAAAAAGCGGTCTTTTGAATCAGAAAATTTCAATATAACTTGATACCGACCAGAAGGCTTTAATGCTGTGCGTTCTTTGAGGCTAATAACCATTGTTAGATTGACTATTTTCGAAGGAATGACGTCAAAAATGCTGTGTGATAGAGGCAACCATTAAGGTGACTCACACACTGCTTCTTCAATCAGGGGGGAAGCATAAAGAGAATGAGACGCGTAGTTCGATAAGAAAAAGCTTGGGGGGGATTGATTTGAATAGACTGGGAACAGATCGATATGTACGGATTGAGGTAGGTGGTAATAAAATGAAAGAGATCAATATATAGAGAAAGATGGAGATACGAGATGGATTAAGATAGATTGATATAAAATGACCAACACAGGTTTGAAAACATATATAGAAAACCTGACATGAACAGGCTGAAATAGATAGATAGATAGATATGGATAGGGTTATAGGTAAATAGACATGAATAGATTGAGATAGATAGAGAGATAGATAGATAGGAACAGTGGAAGAACAAGAAGAAGGAGGAGGAGAACGAGGTGATAGATAGATAGATAGATAGATATGGACAGAGTTATAGGTAAATAGACATGGATAGATTGAGATAGATAGATAGATAGATAGATAGATAGGTATGGACAGGGTTATAGATATATACGCATAAATAAATAGATAGATAGATAGATAGATAGATAGATAGATAGATAGATATGGACAGGATTATAAAAAATAGACATAGATTGAGATAGATACGAAGAGATAAATAGATGAATAGATAGATTGTGAGATAGATATATAGATAGACACGAAAATAGAAATAAATTTACTAACAGTGGCTTAGATATGACACAAGGCCAAATATATGGGGCACCAATTGAGGATCGAACTCACTACTTTGCAGTGATTGATTTACAGGGACAACTTGCTAACCATTACGCCACAGACTGATAGATAGTGATAAACAGACTGAGATAGATAGATAGATAGATATGAACAGGTTGAGATAGATAGATAGATAGATATGAACAGGTTGAGATAGATAGATAGATAGATAGATAGATAGATAGATAGATAGATAGATTGGGATAGATATGAACAAACTTAGAGATAGGTATAAAGGGACTGATATATAAGTAGATATATATAAACAGATAGATACATATGGACAGACATAGATACATAGACGGACTGAGATAGATAGATAGATAGATAGATAGATAGATAGATAGATAGATAGATAGATAGATAGAACAGGCGGAGATACATATATATAGATAGATATGAATAGACTGGGATATATATGTACAGACTAAGATAGATATATAGATAAATATGAACAGACTGAGATAGACATGAACAGACTGGGATAGATAGATAGATAGATAGATAGATAGATAGATAGATAGATAGATAGATAGATAGATAGATAATGATTTGATCAGTTAAGCGTAAATATATCAGATATATAAAGAGTGATGGACAGGCTGAGAAAGATGGATACGAACCCAGTGCGATGGTTTGATATGAAAAGACCGAAATGTCTTTATCTAAACATGTTTAGATCATCGTGAACACATCGATCTGTATGAAAAGACTGAGACAGTGAAATAGATCACGACATATCGAGCGATACCGATGGAGAATAGCAGAACTTGAGTGAAATGAACGACCAATCATCTAGTCGCCATGAAAAGGCTCAAGAGAGATAGATATCACGTATGGACACACATACGAACAGTGTGAGCAAGTGGGATTGGTAAAGCGATCGATGACGTTTAATACGACTGAAATATTTTAGATACATTGAAGTGAGCTGTCGACGAAAGAACTCCTAGAGATGAAAATAAATTGCGACAAATAACCCTTAAAGGATTAATTTCAGGGGAAAAAAAAAGAATAAATTTATTTAAATTCTATACGTGTGTCTGCGCCACAAGATGGCCGAAGGCTTTGAAAGTATTACTCGAGTGTCTGCTACCCACGCACATGCGCATGATGCAGCCAGGTGAAAATCAAACATCGTACATTAAAGAAATGTTTCTTAACTTTTTCTTTCTTGTGGACCATTTATGGTGTCAAAAAATTACACGCCCACATAAGCGCAAATAGTAATTCCATGTAACAAGTAATCTATTTTATTTCTTCTTCTTCTTCTTCTTCTTCTTTTTCTATCTATCTATCTATCTATCTATCTATCTATCTATCTATCTATCTATCTGAGTCTGTTCATATCTTCTTCTTCTTTTTCTATCTATCTATCTATCTATCTATCTATCTATCTATGTCTAATCACTATCTATCTATCTATCTATCTATCTATCTATCTATCTATCTATCTATCTGAGTCTGTTCATATCTTCTTCTTCTTCTTCACAATTCCGTGTCCTACGTAGCTCTTAATAAATTTCGTCTTTTTGTTATTTCTCACGCTAAGTATGTTTATGCGTTGTTTTCCTCTGTCTCTCTTGCCTTCAATCTGTCCTGTGAGTATCAGATTTTCCAAGCCGTCTTTCCTAGAAACCTTAACTCTCTCTTCCTGGTGTTAAGTATAAGTTTCCATTTTGCTTCCATTGTCTTTAGAACCTCGACGTTGTTTACATATTCACCTCATGGTATCCTCAGCATCCTTCTGTAGAACCACCTTTCTGTTTCAAGTCTCTTCTTCCTCTTTGAGGAGATTGCCCAGTATTCACTGTCACACAGGAGGACAGATATCACGTAACAGTTCACTACTTTTTACTTTGTTTCTAACGAAATTTTCCTATTTCTTAATACTTCGCTCAGCTTTTGGAAGGCATCTTTTGTTATCCCAATGCACCTTCGGATTTAAGCGGATTGAGATAGATGCGAAAAGACTGTGATAGATAGATAGATTGATAGATAGGCAGATATAAACTGATATATATATATATATATATATATATATATATATATATATATATATTTATATATATATATATATATTAATGCATGTTTCATTAAATAATATGGACAAGTTTTGTCTATTTATTTTAAGTAAATTCCTTTCATATTGTCGAATAAGCTTTTTAGCATTATCACTGAAACACGAAAGAAAATCTCCATGTTGATACATGTTTTTATTCTTAATCCTGTCTAAGTTTTCGGCTTACATAAGCCATCATCAGAGATTACAAGTACATTACAATAAATTAAATAATAAATCAAATAACAAAGATGGTAATTTTTGTTTTAGATTGGTTATGCGGACATTGCAACAATGATAGTTTGTTTTGTTTACATGGAAGATTGCTATGCAACGATAAAATTGTGCATATGAAACGCAGGAAGCAAATATCGCATTGCGGTTTATGACACTATATATATATATATAGATAGATAGATAGAGACAGATATGGACAGGGTTACAGATAAATACGCATGAATAGATTGAGATAGATAGATATGAATAGACTGGAATAAATATGGACAGACGTAGAGATAGGTATAAAATGACTGATAGATAAATAGATATGAACAAACTGAGATAGATAGATTTTAACAGACTGAGATAGATACATAGATATGAACCAACTGTGATAGATATATAAATATGAACAGACTGAGATAGATAGATAGAAAGATAGATAGATAGATAGATATGAACACATTGTGATAGATATGCCCAGCATTTACTGCCATACAGGAGGACAGATATTACGTAACATTTCAGAACTCTTTGTTTCTAGAGAAAATTTTCTATTTCTCAATACTTCGCTCAGCTTTTGCTATGACAACGCACCTTCGAATTTCAGTGTCGCACTTTCCGTCCACTGTTAAAACATTTCCCAGATATTTAATGTTATTTTCCTTGTTTGATTTTGGTATCTCCGATTTGTAATTTGCATCTTGGGCTCCTCCTTTTGCTAACTACCATAAAATTTAGTAGAAAATATAAACGCTGACTAATGACTACACTGCTCCCGGGGTCTATCGACCAGGTTGTCAAATTGAACTTCCAAGCCACTTCTGTTGTTATCACTACATTTTGGCTAGTCCATTCTCCAACCATTTTCTGTGGGTGATCATATCTTCGCACAACTCCCGATGATCTAAGCTTTAAGTAATGTTTGTCTCCTTACTATCATTCCCAGTCTCTCTTCTGTAGTTTTGTTCCGCCTCCACATTGTTGTAAACTACCCATTTTTCATAGCCTGTGAATGTTCCTTTTCAAAAAATGCGTTGTTTTTATTGCGTTTTAGCTGAGAATTGCAGACGGTAACGGGATCCATTAAATTTTACCTGTTAAATAGCGAGGCACCAAGGCATCGTGAATTCAGGTGGCTTCAAATGCTGTACAACGCTCGTATGACATATGTGGATTATCTCTGCGATATCCCGTGTCGTGTGATCTGAGTTATTTTTAATCTCCGTTTCAATTCGGTCAATATCAACGGCTGCTTGGATACCGCAAGTTTCCCGCTCATCCAGATAAAATAAAAATTTCAGACAAAAAAGAGATTTATTTTTAAGCGAATTCACCCCAAACAAGGCAGACACAAGGTGTGAAAGAGTTAAAAAAAAAACAGAAACATTATGAAGGAGTGAGAACAATAGAAGAGTAATCAGGAAGACAGAAGATAACGACTGACTTTGCATGTAAATTTGTTTTTTAAACATTTCACCTCATGTAAGGAAATAAAGCCACTAAGACACAAGGGGTTACTGGGTGTGAAAGAATTAGAAAACAGAAACATTATGAAGGAGTGAGAACAATAGAAGAGTATTCAGGAGGACAGTAGATAACGATTGACATTGCATTTAAATTTGTTTTTTAAACATTTCACTCCATGTAAGGAAATAAAGCCACTAAGACTCAAGGGGGTTAGCTGGTGCAAAAGAATGAGAAAACAGAAACATTATGAAGAAGTGAGAACAATAGAAGAGGAATCAGTAGGACTGTAGATAACGATTGACATTGCATTTAAATTTGTTTTTTAAACATTTCACTCCATGTAAGGAAATAAAGCCACCAAGACACAAGGAGGTATTTGGTGTGAAAGAATTAAAAAACAGAAACATTATGAAGGAGAGAGAACAATAGAAGTGTGATCCAGCAGTTCTCTGGATGCCCACCCTCATATTTTGCCTTTAAGGTGTTTAAAGCAAGGTTATTCTCACAACCTCATGCTGTTGATTTTTTATTTCATCCCTGTAGTCAACATCATCACCTCCACGAAATGAGTCCAACCACAATATTGTCGTCTGATGGGATGGATAAGGACGCAATCACAAGTTTGTATGGTGAACAGATATACGCGTCCTCTGTGGGTGTCGGTGCTGAGCGTGAGAATGGGTGAAAGGTACAGGCCTATTCTGACAGTTTGTCAAAAAAGTCCTTAACCCAACGACAAATGGAGGTTGATGGTCCTAGTCGTATGAGCATTGCGACCAGCCTGCTCAGGATGATCGTATTAAAAGTAACGCTGAAGTCAATAAAAAGCAATCTCACATAACTCTCCTTTTTTTTTTCCTCTGGGTGGATCAATGCAATATTGGGCAAGTGAGGCAATGGGATTCGCTCTCTGTATGCAAACTGGTATTGATCGAAAGTAGACGGCAGACGGCAGACATACCTTGATATGCTGCTGGACTGATGTCTCAAAGCACTTCATAGCAATCGATGTATATGCAACTGGTCGATAATCGCTACGGCCATTAATCATTGTTTTTTTTTTCTTTTGAGGCCAGAAGATGGTGAGGTGGCTGATTTCAGGCAGGAGGGTATCAAAGATTTCGACAGTGAAAAGTTAAATATTTTCGTAAAGATCCCAGAGAATTAGCTAGCAGATGCTTTCAGGATCCTTCCTTTTACTCCGTCAGTCACAGCGATTTTCTTCGGATTCACCCCTCAGAACATACGTTCATATTATGCTCCTGAACTCTGAAGCTCTTATTTATGTGACTGGTGGAGGTGTCTTGCTTTGTTGGCTCCATTTCTAAACGATCAAAAAAAAAAAAAAATGTTACTCTGTCGATGAAGCATTACCAACTGTAATTTTGCAGTTCATAAATTAATTTAATTTAATTTATTTCTTATTTTATTTATTTATTTATTTTTATTGCATTTTATTTTGTTTTTATTTTATTCATTTATTTTATTTTTTATTTGTTTTATTTATTTCGTCTTACTTTTATTTTATTTTATTTATTTATTTAATTTTTATTTATTTCTTATTTTATTCATTTATTCTTTTATTTTATTTTATTTTATTTATTTATTTTATTTATTTATTTTATTTTATTTTATTTATTTATTTTATTTTTTATTTGTTTTATTTATTTTATTTTATTTATTTATTTTATTTTATTTATTTATTTTATTTGTTTTATTTATTTCTTTTATTTTATTTTTATTTTATTTATTTATTTTGTTTATTATTTTATTTATTTTATTTTATTTTTATTTTATTTATTTTATTTGTTTCTTATTTTATTTATTTAGTTATATTTTATTCTATTTCATTTTATATCATTTTGTTTCATTTTTATTTATTTATTTGATTTCCTTTATTTATTTCTTATTTTATTTATTTATTTTATTTTATTTATTTATTTTATTTTTTTATTTAAGTTAATAATAATAATAATAATAATAATAATAATAATTCCTCTTACACATGAACTGAACAACAGTAGCTATGGTTACAAAATAAATA